TTCTCGAAATTTGCATATAGTTTACTTTCAAATCTGAAGGGGTGAAGATTAGAGGGCAATGTTTGACAAAAGCGAACATCGCAAGTGAGGGTCTCATGGCATCAGAGACTTGAAATTCAGTTGCTTGAACAGAGTCCATGTTGGATTTCCAAGGTGACCAATTCTGTTCAAAATGCAAGGTCTGCATTATCAGCTCGGTGGAAATCAAGAAAAACATTAGGCCTGAAGCAAGAGGTAAGCACGTGAACAAGCACACGAACATGGGCCGTGTTAATTTGACGCTGCAGAGCTACGTTTTTCCCTCATAATAAACTCCTTTATGGTTTAATACTTCAAAAATTGAAGAGGTCATCTTCAATCTAGAGTTTGAAATATATATTTTAACGTGACAAGTACTTCACATACCATGGCTCATGAATGAATCTCTTTGTTAGTGATATTGGTTGACCAGACTCGAGAGGCACCAGAAGAGAAGCCTTTCCTGACAGCATACACTACAAAATGGAATTGGAGAATGAATAAGTAGAAAGATAATTCATTTTTCTTCCAGGGCATGCCAAAGAAAACTAGTTAATGACCGATGAAAGCTCATTTTCATTATTGCCTTGATTTTCTATTGCAAAAGACAATAGTAATGTACTGACGGGCACATAAATGCTCTTGCCATGCTAATTGTTTTTATTGGTTTGCATGTACGACCTTGATATGGCTAATCCAAGACAAACCAGCAGAGCATGTCATCCAGACCAATCTCTTCCCTTCTTGTCCCCTAATCAGACCGAGTACACTAGCATCAGCCTCTACAGTTAAGTAAATACTCCCAAACACATCGTATCATATGAAAAGATCCAAAATGATCAGATAATTAGAGAATACAATAATGTTCTTTTGATTGAATGGAATAGAAAAGCATCTGTCTTCAGAAACGTTACAATTTAAGGGGAAAGAGCTTGTAGTTAACAACGAGAAGTGACTTGATACAACTTTGCAGTCATACAAACAAATTCCGTGAGGACAGGTAAATTTGGCAACAAAGTTATAATTCAACATTCTGCTGCAAACTGTGGCGTTTACACAATACACGTGCATGCCGCTTCTTGATTCCGTTTCTAAACAGAGTGCTAGCAGGGCTTTTTGTTTCTCTATGAAATGAAGAGCATATTTTGCTCTTCTCAGCTATTTTCCTTTCCAATTACTCAGCCGCTTATGCCTGGACTGGAATGACCGAACAGAATTTGTAACCATCAAACGAAAAGGAACGTTTAAAAGAGTTTGACATGAATCTTATTTACCAACCCTTAATCACTTGGAGAAATGAGAACCACATAAATATGCCACATAAATATCTACAAAATAGTTGCACTAAATCCAAAGTAGTTATTCCTGAGATCCAACATTAACGAGTTCATTGCTAAAGATCTATAGATTAAAGTTAATGTCATATGAATAAAAGTGATGTCTAACCTCATGTAGAATCTGAGATGATAGCTGCATGAAAATAAAAGAACATATATTATATATCCCAAAATCTCTGTGTGAAACCTCGAGTGGTAATTGCTAATCTAAATCATTTAAATTTTTTCTAAAAATTTGATCACTAGTCTCCTTGCTTTTTGGAATTAAAACACACAAAGAAATGCTGCATGCACTGCTTATTTCCTGCTTATTATCTATCCTGAAGCCATCTCGAAGCTTATGTTAAGTACCCTAAGTTCGCCATGACATTAAATTATCCACTGCCGGGAAAAGAAACGTAAAGAGTTGTTCTGGACACTCCTATAAAAAGCTATGAAATCCATACACAAACATATTGGAATAACTCCTGCGTCATGCTAAAACTCTGGCATGGTACATAATATAAAAAAATTTCACCGATATATGCATCGAAAACTGGCACAACATAATGGCAGTCTCTTTCACATGAATTAGCTTTTGAAGTGAGAACTTGTAATCTCATCATCAGCCAGCATAAATTTTACCATTCCATTGCATCCACAATCTCTACAAGCTTAATTTCATTTCGCCGCAGTTTATGAATTTCGAACACCAAATTCGACAAGCCCCGTAGGCTTTCTTCCTTACAGCAATGATTAAAGAATCCTGCAGCACACTTCAAACTATGCTCTCTTGATTGCACTTCTATCTTTATCACAGTATTTTGTTTGGTTACTAGTATGCAAACCCAATAAAATAAAAAGCAAACCCGGTAAAATAAAAAGTAAAGAATGGTATAAAATAAAAAATGATACACACAAGAATTTATATAATTCGTTCAATTTGATTACATCCACGGGCAAGTATAGAAAGATTTTACTAAGTAATGTGAGAATTACAGTCTATTTCTACTACTAGAAGAACAAATGAAATCTTTATATTACTAGGAAAAAAACACCTTACTTACTATCCTCACAAATACCTCATAATTTTATGGGATTACTTTTCCTCTCTCACTCTCCTCTTCTTCTCTTTTGTTTCTCTCTTATAGTGTGCATTTAAGGCTTGAATTCATTACTTATTTATAGGCAAGAGTGAAGGGATAAAGGCTATAAATCATGACACCAATTATGCCAACAACTCATCTTCACTCATACTCCACCAATTATGCCAACAATTCATCTCCCATTTATTTTCGTCTAACAACTCATCTTCCACCAATTATGTGGATTTAATTAAATAGCTTTACATTCTCCACTTGAAGACTTTGATGATTTAATCAAGTCTTCACACTTGATCATCTGTGATTCTTCTATCCTTTCTATACTTACCATCTTCATGTTGCTTACGTTTCTGCTAAATCATAAGAGGATCTGTATCAAATATACTTATCAGTGTTGACTGATTTGGTCAAAACATCTGCTGGATTTTTCTTTAAGTGAACCTTCTGAAAATCCACACTTCCATCTCCCACCACTTCGCAAATAAAGTGATACTGAACATCTATATGTTTTGTTCTTGAATGAAATAATGGATTCCTTGCAATATGCAAGGCACTCTAACTATCACAATACAAAAAAATGTTCTCTTATTTGTACCCAAGCTCCTCCATAAGCTTCTTCATCCATATTATTTCTTTACAAGCTTATGTAGTTGTTATATACTCAGCTTCTATTGTGAATAACGCTACAATAGTCTAAATTTTAGAGACCCAACTCACAACTCCTCCTGCAATTATGATCATATAGCTTATAGTGGATTTTTTTTTCTCAAGGTTACTAGCAAAATCTGAATCAACATAACTTCTGAAAGTAAGTTCTGATCCTCCATAACTTAATGCGGCATCTAAGGTACCTTTGATGTATCTCAAGATCCTCTTAATAGTATTTCAATGCTCACTACTAGGATTTTCCATGTATCGACTAACTGCTCCTACTACTTGTGCAATGTCTGGTCTTGTACATATCATAGTAAACATTAAACCTCCCACTGCTAATGCATATGGTACTCGAGACATCTCCATTCTCTATGCTTCATTGTTAGGAGACATACTTAAGGATAATTTGAAATTAACAGGAAATGCGATGGAAATTGACTTACAATCTTACATGTTGAAACATCGCAAAATCTTTTTCAAATAATTCTTCTAAAAAAGCCAAATCTTCCTCTTACATCTATCTCAATGAATTTGCATTCCTAAAATCCTGTTTGTCGGTCTCAAGTTATTTATATCAAACTCCCTAGCCAATTGTGCCTTCAATTCTTATACTTGATATTTGTTGGGGCCTATTACCAACATATCATCCACGTACAGCAAGAGAATGATGAAATTATCATCTTCTTCAAACTTTCTATAATACGTATAATGGTCTGAATTGAGTTTGTTATACCCAAAGCTAACTATGAAAGAATCAAATCTCTTATATCAATACCTCAGTGCCTGTTTGAGACCATATAGAAATTTGTTTAACTTGCAAACCAAGTTCTCCTTGCCTATTTCAGCAAAACTCTTTGGTTGAAGCATATAAATTTCCTTTTCAAGTTTTCCATGAAAAAATGCAATTTTTATATCTAACTGCTCTAAATAAAGATCAAATATCACTCATTACCAAAATTACTCTAATTGTAGTAAGTCATACCATCAAGGAAAACATCTCATTGAAGTTTATTCCTTCTTTATAAGCATATCCTTTCACCGCCAATCTTGCACGATACCGTTTCACTTGATTATTGTCATCACGTTTTATCTAGTAAACTCATTTGGTGCTAATGACATTCTTTTTTTATGAAAACAAAACAAGATTTCAAGTGTTATTCTTGTGTAGAGCTTCAATCTCCTCTTGCATTGCTGTCATCCACATAAATACATCTGTGTTTTGATAGTCTCATGGAAAGTTCATGTCTCTCCATCCTTGATTAGAAGACATTATACAATGTTGCTCTCAATAAGATATACAATGTTGTTAGAGTATCCCATATCTCCTTAACTGTTTTCTTCTCCGCTATACTTGATAATACTTCATAAGCTAATGCTAAATGTATGTTAGCAAAATCATTGTCATCTATCTCATTTCATTTTGCATTATCAGTGATCTCCACGAGTTGATCCTCAATACTGCCAAGCAATTATCTTTCCTTAAGATTGCCTTAATTCTCATTTTTCACAGTGAGAACTTGCTCCCTTTAAACATCTCAATCTCGTACTTTACTGTTATTTTATTCACCGTGATCTATTCAGCTATCACCGTTTAACTAATATGTAATATATACAGAAATAGTATCGTGTGAATAATAATGCACTAAGTAAGTTACCAGGAAAGATTGAAAGGGTCACAAACGGTCCGCTTAAAACTCAATCTTATTAGATAGAACTTCCTAGACTGTATTTAATCACCACACTGATTTTTATATACGCCAACAGTAACATATGTGAACGGTATTGTAAATGTGAATAGTACCGTAGATGTGAATAATGACCGTATACATGAATAACTTTCGTGTGTTAACAACACCAACCAAGAGGCTATAATACAACTATTAGAATACTAACATACAACCCTGATAAAATAAAAGGCAAAGGATATGATAAAATGATAAATAAGACACACAAGAATTTACGAAATTCACTCAATTTGGCTACGTCCATGGACAAATATAGAAGAATTTTACTGAGTAATGTAGGAATTACAATATCTCTTTATCAATAGAAGAACAACTGAAATCTCTCTATTACTAAGAGAAAACACCTCACTTACTCTCCTTACAGATACCTCACAATTTTATGGGATTACTTTTCCTCTCTCACTCTCCTCTTCTTCTCTTTTGTTTCCCTCTTATGGTGTGCATTTAAGGTTTGGATACATTCACTATTTATAAGTAAGAATGAGGGGACAAATACCATAAATCATGATACCAATTACGCCACAAATTATATCAACAATTCATCTTCAATCATACACTACCAATTATATTAACAACTTATCTTCTATTTATTTTTATCTAACAACTCATCTTCCATTAACTATGTGAATTTAATTAAGAGGCTTTACAAACAAACGTGTGGCATATAAAATATATAATATTCGCTTCCAAAATTAACATAAAACTAAGAGATCAAAGCTGTGCGCGCATGCTTGTGTGTGTAACACAACACAAGCTATCATTGAAGTACGCATTTCATAAGCCTGATTGATTATCATAGCTGATCAGATGCTATGCATCCATGTAAAAAGATTAAAAACAAGAGAATAGAAACATACCAGAACCTGAAGCTGCAGACTTTCACGTCACGGTCCTTGAACCTCTTTATCTCTTCAATAATCTGAGCATTTTCGAAGAACTCACCTGTTTTCGTATCTGCAATGTCATTCTTTTCAAAACATGCTAGGGACTTTTCACACGACTATACAAGCGAAAAACAATCAAAGTGAAGGCTCGGGTTAATACGAAAGTTAATCTAGACAATATTATTATATCAGAAAATACATAAATTATTCACTCAGCAATAAGGAAACTTTAACCTGTATAGCAATAGAAAATAAGCCGTTATCAAGTCAATGGCGATCAAAATCTAGCCATTCCGGATACGAAACTTGTAGCGATTTTTCCCCAGTAGACTTAACATCACGCAGAAGCAATGCCTCTTATTTCAGCGACAAACAACTCTGCACACATAATTCATGTAAAGATTGCTAGCAATTTTAATTAATTGACGGATAAAATTTGACAAGGAGTTTGTGGCTGTCTCAGTATCGCCTGTGACAGCGAAAGCGCCAACACATAATTGGAGAGTAAAAAGCTTCTGTTTGACAATTTTATCTTGATTTGGTGGATGATGGAGAAAGATTCGGATCTCATGGACTGTTTCACATCCGATCGTATTTCGATCAGCGATTTCAAGTCTCTAAAGACCATAACTGATTCGAGAATTCGCAGCGTTTCGTCTTTGAATCTGCAAAAGAAAGAAGAGATTGAGTGAGCTTTTTTGAAATGAGGGATGACGATTGAAGGGTTGTGAGGGTGAAAATTGGAACCTTCAATTTGTGATTTGACAGCGGAAGAGGGAAATCTGGTGAGGAGTTTGTGTGAGTCGTGACATTTGCCAAGGGCGGGAGGTTGTGGCTCTGGGCTTGGGTTTTATTTTAAAGATTATTTGTGGGTTTGGATATGTTCAAATGTGAATTCCTGCAACTGTTTTCTTCTTACGTTTTTTTTAATGGTGTTAACTGTTAACGATAACTGAAAAATAATCTTTTATAATTCTAATGAATTTTAAATGAAAAAAAATGAATTAGACTTAATTAGATTTGTAAATGAGTTAATGAACAAATTTACCGATGATTTCTTAATAATTCCTTCTAAATTAGCTAAAATGTGTTTGTTAAAGTGATGAAAGTTATTTTTATAAAAGTATTTTTTATTTTATTTTTTATATTAATATTTTAAAATTATTTAAAAAATATAAAAGATATTAATTTAATATTTTTAAAATTAAAAAATATATAACAAACACATCTAATAAATTTTTTAAATTTAAACTGTTATACAAAGTTTAAAAATAATATATTAATTTTTTTAACTTTAAAATTTTTTGTGCGAAACCTCGATGGAAAAACGGGCGGATAAACTCGTATGTACTAAAAAAATACAATAATTCTCTTAAATCTATTATTATACGGGTCTGAGCGAGGCTCCCTCGCCCCGACTTGGCTGGAAATTTCCTACTGGTGGCAACCAACAGCCCCTTCGCGCTCGGCCCTTACACCGTTCATGTCGCTCTTCAACTCCATCTCACACTCCCAACAAGACAAAAAAAAAAGAAGAAGAAAAACTCCCATCGCATAGGATCAAAGAGAAAAAATGGCAGGACGCAACCATCTCCAACTCCGCGAAATCCCTTTATCCCGAGTCGCCCCCCTTTCTCGCTCAACCACCGGCCCACGCCACCTTCACACCCGACCTCACCGCCACCTCCTCGAAGACCGAATATCAACCCAACACCGTGAGATCCAATCCCTTCTTTTAGACAACCATCGACACGCTGCCACACGTTGCATTAAAACAAGAAGTCTCTCTGTCACAGCAAGACCTCTTCGTCACTTATCAACACTTGCTGCTGGTGTCAAAGCCGAGAGAGATAATCAAATTCGTGAAGTCTATCAAAGATCGTTGAAATTGGATGCCGAGTTACGGTCTATTGATGCTATGAGATCTGAACTTGTTCAGGTGAGAACGGATGTACAGAAAATTACTTTGCAACGGCAGGATATGACTGCACAATTGAAGGACATGAATAGTGAAATTGTTAAGGCTAAAAGGGAAACGCAGCAGGTGGGTGTTATTAAAGAGGAGATTGAAACTGTACAGCAGGAGATTCAAGGAGGAAGGTAAGACAAAAAAGGTGGGGGGGGGGGTTTTTTTGGGGGGGTAATTTTGTTGGTTGGT